TTACCTTTCAGGTCCTGAACCTTTATCTTCAGATCTTCAATCTTAGGAAATCAAGAATAAAGTTTAGATTTTAGAAGTTACGTCAGTTAAATACATTATCTAGTAAAACAGAACAAAAGTACCTCCTTGTTTGACTTGGCCACTTTGCTCTCCATATCATATCTTTGTTCATCAACAGCGTCAATCTGCTGGTGCAACATCCTACACAGCTCCTTTACACAAAGATACACGAATAGCCGATTCGATTTATTGGTCCCCAAAAAGGCAGAAAGTTTTGTGTGAGGATTAGGTTTAGTGGTTGCGTTAGGGTAATGGGGGAAGAAAATACAGTTTGTACAGTAGAAAAACCATTACGTCTATCCACCTTTTTCTTCAATGCGGAAGTAAGCCTATGGGCAAGACTTCTGGTTCATTAGCCACTATAGGTAAATAACGAGAAGAATAACAACATGCAGTAAATGGTAAAACTGCGAAGTTCCCATGAAAGGGAACTGGAGGTTTTATAGTCACCTTTAACAAAACATACAGCTATATAAAAGAAAAGGACTTTAAATTTATAGATAACCTTGCATTCACACAGTATTGGTGAGAATACAGGTAAAAAAAAATCCACCTTATTTTTCAACGCGGAAGTAAGCCATTTTCTGTGAATGTGCCAGACTTCCGGTTCATTAGCCACTGTAAATAACGAGAGGAATAACAAAGTGTAGTAAATGGTAAAACTGTTTGCACTACAAACCAGTGTGTTCATAATTAAGATAATACATTGAAATAATATGGTAAGACACACAAATTTTCAAAATCAAATAGCAAAACTAACTGTTTTGTACAGCTAAAAATAGCTGGATGTGGATGAGACCGGAAGCCAGACTCATAGAATTTACAAATGGCCGAGCCCATTTTTACGGCAAGAAAAAGGTGGATAGAACATCTCCATAAACATGGAAGTCAGTGTGTGTGTGTGTACCTGTATTTCCTGCATGCTTCCAGGCAATGAGAGAACAGGGCAGTTCTCATCCATGAATCTCTGTTTTTCTTGCTCAGCCTCAGCTGCCTCTTCCTCCAAAAGGCCATGAGCAATCTGAAGCAACAAGCTCTGGAGCACAAAGACAAAGACGCAGCATAGACAGCATTCAACAAGAGAGTCACTGACAGTTCATATAGCTCAGATCACATGACGAAAGCCATGACCTCACCTTCAGATTTTGCCTGCGGCTCGACGACATCTTTTTCCTATCAGAAAGCAAATGTTTACAATTTCATAGAGTGCAGAACAGTGCATCATTAAGTGGTTGGGGTGATTATGGTTGGGAGAAACAGATGGAACATCCATGCTAAAATACTTTTAATAATAGTAATAATAGCATTTATGCTAGTATAAATACAAAATGATCATGATGCTAAATGTGTTTGCTGAGTTCAGTAATCAAGGACTTAGTGACTTGACCTTTTTCACACCACACAAACATCATGATGTTGTAACTCAATACTTACTCTGACATCTTGCCGGGCTCTTTGTGGCGACCTCTGTGAAGGTGAAGATGCCTGTGGGTGGCAGGTGGGGGTGTTACTGCCTTCAATCTAATGGAAACAATTTGCATTCAGTCATCGGTCCTGCAGCAGGTCTAAATTTGGCTGGGATAATGTGAAAGAGAGATGGGTGTGTGTGTGTCGAGACCCACAGAAGTGTTTGAATTTGAGTAGCAGTTGTCTTGTGCTCTTTTTTTAGTGTTCCTTTGTAGGAAGCAGAAGGTCTGCACCAATACAGAAGGCGAGACAGCTGACAGACAACTTGCTGCCTCTTGAAGAATCTCCTCGACTTCAACAGCTGAAACCCTCCACAACTGTAAAAATAATTTCTGCTCTATTAGTTCTATATTTTTCTTGCCAAAAAAGGTTTTGGATTGGACGTGGACTGAGTTGGGAAATTCTGTTTTCTAAAATCAGCTGTGGTCTTCATACCTGCGTATATCATAAGGTGTATGAAGGAAATATGTACATTGTGAAAAAGGATTGCCTAGGATTTATGGTAAAACCTGTTAATTGGTTAACGGTAAGTTGCCATACTCTACATAGTGAAAAACTAAAACAGATCTATTGGGACATTTCATGTAATTTTATAGTTTAAAAAAACTATAAAAAACTGTTAAATGGACAGTTTTGGAAGTAAAAAGAACAAGTCATTTTGACATTCACAGAATTTCCTGCATGATACTTCACATTTGATGGTATTTAGTTAAAACTATGGTTTTATGTTACATCTTATGTTGATAAATTACTGTTTATTGCATTATTTTAATGTCATGTGTGTTACCATGATGGTATTTTGTATTTGTGTGTACGACACTGTGCACCTTATGTCTTTATGTTAAAAAAAATCAAAACAGATTTTAGTAGCAGCTTGGTTATGGTAATTTAACAGAAAATGGCTGTTGGATTTACTGGTTGAAATGGTTACTGTTTTTTTTGCCCATTTTTTTTGTAATTTACATCCATTTTAAACTGTAAAATTTACAGGCCTGTACATTTGTTTACATTTTACAGTATTTTAATTGAATTATTCCAGCAACCCCAAATGCTGTTTTTTTAAACAACAGGTGCTGATGAAGTAAGTCAGGAAATATTTAACTGTGAGCATGTGCTTAATGAGATTCATAATACTTTTTTTTTTTACAATGAATTAAATATAGCCAACTCAAATAGACCCCAAAAACAAATATTACAAATATGTCAAATTTGGGGTCTAATAAAAGCTTTCTGAGCATTTGACATTACAGTTTAAAGTTAAAATTTATCATAATTTATCCATGAAGAAGACATCAAACCATATCCATTATCTCTTATTAACACAGTATTATATTAGGCAACAGCCGCTGTTTTGTCTCTAGTATCTTCCTCCAATATACAGTACATTATAAAGCATATTATTATCTTGCTTATTGCTCTAATTTCTTGGCTGAGTATGGTTGCTCAGTATGATTGAGATCTTCTGAAGATCTGTGGCATGTTCTAATGTTAGAGATGGACAGAATAATAGAGACTCACCTTTCAGTGCACAGCAGGACGTTCAAGGTGATGAGAGGGAAGGAGTATCAGCTTATAACATTAGTTGGGTTTATATAGGTTTCCCATATGGCTTCTCCATTCTCTTTAAGGAAGCAGATCTTTTTTCAAGCCAATGAGATTGTCAAATCCCAACACCCCTTCTCCTTCCCTCCCCCACAATCAACACACACACATATTTGTTTTTCTAACATTCTATCATGGTGACCTGAATTATTCTTATATTGAGCTAATGATGCTTTCGATCCCCTTACATAACCTAGCTATTACCAAAATATTTATGCATTTTAATTAAAAAAGGATTTTGTATATGTTAACTGGTCCCACAGTGTAGGTAATTTAATTTTTATCTGTCCTTGTGGGGACATTTGGTGCAATATACAGCATGCACCTGACCCAGATCTTTCACTAAATCCTTGGAATGAGCAGAGAAACATGACACTCTTTCAATATAGGCGTTTATTGCAAGTACAAGAACTGTAAGAAATTAAGATGAACCCTGACTATCACTTCTGTTGCTGTAATCTCTGTGTTTTCTCACCTGTTGTGCTCTCTAGCAACAGTGTTTAGCAATAAAACAGATGGAAACTCCAACTGTATGACAGAAATATCACTCAACACATTCCGCAGACACGTTTTAGATCCCATACTACATATAAACTTCACAATTGCTTTGTAATTATTATAATAATACACTTGTATTCTTCAAAACTATGCTGGCTCGTCTGTTTAAAAAGATTATAGTCTTTAAAACAAACAGACAGTGAGACTTTGCAAAAATTTACATAATTCTGTTTGAAGCCGAGTTCACTGTAGAGCACTGAGTCTTAAAAGTCCTCATCTGTTGAAATAGATATCAGATCACTCCAAGAGGTTTATCACCAGGTG